AAGAAGAAGAAGAAGAAGAAGCTTCACGGAGTGCGCACGCGCAACAGCACTCTGCCTACGCGGGTTTTCGGTGCCGACCCCCGAACTCCGGTAACCGTCTCCGGTGACTCTCATGAGTTTCCGGTGATTCAGGTGTAAAAATGAGGCGGACCGGGTCCATTTCCGGACGCTGTTACGGTCTTTAACCGCCCCCCAACAACCGGAAATAGTTGTCTGTAACACAAGCTAACGTTAGCATCACCCGAACCGGAACTGCCGGGCCTCAGCTCAGGTGAGCCATCAGCTTAAAGTCTGGGTTCAGGTGGGGCTCTGGTCCGGTTCTGACCTTGCAGAACGGTTTGGACCTGACGGGATGTATAAGGTGAAGTTTGTTAAAGTTCTGGTTCTGGTCTGGTAAAATCAGGAACCGGTTCGGCGGCACCAACACTTTGAACTTTCAGCTTGAACAAAAGTTGGAGGCGAAGTTTCAAAGATTTATTAATTATTTTATTAAAAATAAACTTTATGTTCTGAGTGAGGTGTTCCGGTGGTTCTGACCGATTCAGAACCTCTGCCGGTCCGAATGGACAAACTGATGAGGAGGAGGATGGGTTCTGGTTCTGGTTCTTTATTTAAATGTGCACTATAGCAACACATGGTTAATAAATGTATCTGTTATGATTAAATCTTCCTATAATCGATACAAAATAAACTAATGATCTGTTTCAGGCTGAAGAAGAGGAGCATGATGAAGATGTCTCCGCTGTCCGGTGTGGACATGGACACAGGCGGAGACAGAGAGTCCACGCTGACCCGGGACGACTGTCTCTGTCCGGTTTGTCTGGAGATCTTCATGGAACCTGTCACACTTCCCTGCACACACACCTTCTGCAAGGTAACACACCTGACAGGTAACACACACCTTCTGCAAGGTAACACACACCTTCTGCAAGGTAACAAACCTGACAGGTAACACACACCTTCTGCAAGGTAACACACACCTTCTGCAAGGTAACACACCTGACAGGTAACACACACCTTCTGCAAGGTAACACACCTGACAGGTAACACACACCTTCTGCAAGGTAACACACCTGACAGGTAACATACACACACACCTGACAGGTAACATACACACACACCTGACAGGTAACATACACACACACCTGACAGGTAACATACACACACACCTGACAGGTAACATACACACACACCTGACAGGTAACATACACACACACCTGACAGGTAACACACACACACACCTGACAGGTAACACACACACACACACACCTGACAGGTAACACACACACACACACACCTGACAGGTAACATACATACACACCTGACAGGTAACACACACCTTCTGCAAGGTAACACACCTGACAGGTAACATACACACACACCTGACAGGTAACATACACACACACCTGACAGGTAACATACACACACACCTGACAGGTAACACACACACACACACCTGACAGGTAACACACACACACACACACCTGACAGGTAACACACACACACACACCTGACAGGTAACACACACACACACACACCTGACAGGTAACACACACACACACACACCTGACA